ACAACTGACAGACGCAGCCTTCGATTCCATGTATCGCATGTCCCCATGTCAGATGCTGGAGTTGTGCGTATGCGAACGGAAATAATCACTGCGATGAAGGCATTAAGTCGCTCCAGCGCTGCCTGAATTCTTGACTATAACGAAAACAACGCTGTGCCCTGCGAGGCATGTCGATAAGGATTACTTGTATCGGCGCCTAAACAGAGCACTGGGATAGGAACTTCCAGTCCGCTTAAAATTGGTAACCTTGCGATAAATTTTACGATGGATAAATATTCCCGTGTCTTAACCCTAACTTAGAACGAAACTGTAACCTTAAATTTTGACCCTAGTCCTACGCCAACTCTAAAGCTTACAGTTAACACGAAATCAAACCTTACCCCCTTAAAATAAGCCTGACCCTAACTCAGGCCTTAACTTAGTCCTAATCCTCATTTTAATTCTAAACTTGATTTCCTCGAAATTTGGCGCAAACTCCATGCATTACGGACGGTTCCTGTTCCTTTATCCTGCTTAGTTGGCTATATTAGTCATTCTTACCCGAATCTTCTCTAATTACGCCATTAACTGGCTCCATCATTGCTCTTTTGAGGCTAACAGCTTCGCCCTCTGTTGTTAGTTTCCTGGCATGCACTACGCTCAAGATGTCATCCTAGTAGACTCTAGTAAGGCTGATCTACAAAGTGCGGTGTTGTGAATGAATTGTATAGCCGAAACAAATCGTTTTATCCATAACCATTCGGATGGTCAAATCGTTACCAATTTGCGAATCTGACTAGGAGTAGGTCGCTCCAATAATCAGCTCCAGCACTTAGCTTGGGGAAATTTATGCTCAACTGTCTTTGGGCGAGGTTTCATTCAGTTTGGCAAAATAAGAACAATGTTGTCCACGTGGATGCAAACCTTTGAAGATGTACATGGACCTGGCACTACAGGGGTCCTTTTATGTGGGCTGTTTATGTTTCAAAGACGAAAACAAACTGAAGATGTTTGAACGCTGTCGTCTGAGAACAATCCTACGACTGAACTGTACGGTCTGAGTCCAAATGAGACCGTTCTTGTCCGTCGCAACAACGTGAGGACAGCTGAGGTCATCGCCAAATGACGACTCTGAGGTGGTCCTGTGTGTGTGTACTGCCCTTTTTGGCCACATGTATTCGCTGCTGTTGCGTTTGACCGGACGCCGGCTGCCAACCTGGAGTCATCGAAA